GCCCATCATATTCTAAGTGCTTTTCCCTGTCCTCTTCAGGAGGAAGCAATGGGAAAAAGCATGGGGAAGGGGGGAGGCGCTTTGTTTTTCAGAGAGCTGTGACCAGGTAAGTCTGCTATGGGGATTCACAGTTTGCCTGCATAAACTGTAATATGTCACACTATGATTCCAAGTTCTAGTTTACAAAATAAGGGCCACTCAGCAGTAACTTCAACAACTGGATCCCACAGAAGAGCTCTTGACTTCTCTGTGTACATTCTTTCAGGAGAGAATCCTTTCCCAGTTTCAAGTATCCCTTTCTGTCTCTCACTCTGTAATGAGTTAAGAAGGGAAAAAACCTTCCCCATTTTTCCTGTAGTGAGCACAGGCAGCTACAGTGCATTCCTCCACCCCCTATGGAATCTGAAATGAAAAGGCTGGACAGATGAAGATCCCCGCAGTTTCCTTTTCTTCTAATGGGCGCTCAGCTTCACTGTCAACCTGGTGCAGACTCTTCTGAACTCAGGTGTATCGGGGCATCTCACACTGCTCACAGCGATTTAGTGCTGGGTGGTTCAGAAACGTACAGCTGTCACAATTCCATGGGGCCCCTTCATAGTCTTCATCTCGGGGCTGTGTCTGAGGATTGTGCTTGGAGCCAGGTAGATGCTCTGAGGGAAGTTAGAATGGAAAGAGAGAAAATAGATTGATTTTTTTCCCCAAGTATAATCCAAACTGAAATAAAAAACAAACAAAAACAACAAGTCTAGTATAGATTACCTTCCAAGCTCATTATCCATAGATAGTGGTAAACAAGCTCATTATCCATAGACAGTAGTTATTCCAGCCAAATGAAAAAAATGAGATGTTATATAGCATGTTAAAAATAATTCTATGACCAGCCAGTATGGCTCAGTGGTTGAGCGTCGACCCATGAACCAGAAGATTATGGTTCGATTCAGGTCAGGGCACATGCCTGGGTTGCTGGCTTGATCTCTAGCCAATCAATGATTTTCTCTCATCATTGATGTTTCTACCTCTCCCTCTCCCTTCCTACAAAATCAATAAAAAAGGTATTTAAAAAATTAATTCTGCTTCCTCCTGCCATCTTCAGTCCTATGTGTCACCCCCTCATACTAGCCACACTACATTAAACATCTGATTAAATGTGCGACTTCTTTTAGACCATCAGTTTCACAATATGCATGTGCTTAGTAATGATGGTTCATAAATGGCAGTAAGAGTTCATAACAAAGTTTCCCCCAGAATGGTAAAAAGAGAAAGATAAAGCCCCTACAGTTACTTTTTCATAAGCTAAATTCATTCAATATAAACAATTATCTTTTTATTCTCAGACTAGAGGCCCCATGCATGAATTCGTGCACCAGTGGGGTCCCTCGGCCTGGCCTGCAGGTTCAGGCTGAAACTGGCTCTCCGACATCCCCCAAGGCAGCGGTTCTCAATCTGTGGGTCGCGACCCCTTTGGGGGTCGAACGACCCTTTCACAGGGGTCGCCTAAGACCATCGGAAAACACATATATAATTACATATATTTTTGTGATTAATCACTATGCTTTAATTATGTTCAATTTGTAACAATGAAAATACATCCTGCATATCAGATATTTACATTACGATTCATAACAGTAGCAAAATTACAGTTATGAAGTAGTAACAAAAATAATTTTATAGTTGGGGGTCACCACAATATGAGGAACTGTATTAAAGGGTCGTGGCATTAGGAAGGTTGAGAACCACTGCCCCAAGGGGTCCCAGGCCACATTGTGAGAGGGCACAGGCCAGGCCAAAGGACCCCACTGGTGCACAATTAGGGCCATGGAGGGATGCGGGAGGTTGGCCAGGTAGGGAGGGACCCGTGAGGGCTCCAGGGCATGTCTGGCCCATCTCGCTCAGTCCCAATCAGCCGGACCCCAGCAGCAAGCTAACCTACCAGTCGGAGCATCTGCCCCCTGGTGGTCAGTGCACATCATAGCAAGCGGCTGAGCAGCCTTAGCATATCATTAGCATATTAGGCTTTTATTATATAGGATTCTTTCCTACCTATTAGTTTTTTTTAAATGTCTATGTGTAGGCAATATAAAATGCAGGCAACTTTATGTTAGTCCTTGGGATTTTATTTTAAAAAACCTTTAAACTAAGTCTTGGCTGGGTAGTTCAGTTAGAATGTGGACCTGATACACATTCAACCCCTGGTCAGGGCACATACAAGAAACAACCAATGAATGAATACATGGGTGAAACAACAAATTGTTGTTTCTCTCTCTTAAAAAGATAAAAACAAAACAAAACAAAAAGAACCTTGAAACTTAACTTATACTCTTCCTAAGTCCTCATTCTCTCTGGCCTTGTGCTCAAAAGGCTTCTAGAGTTAATTTGTAAATCCTGCCTTTTAGGAACAGTCCCTTCTGAAAATGGGGTCAATAACTAGAGGCTAAAAATCTCTGGATGGAATTCACTCTGGAATCTGGAGCAAGGTCAGGAGGCTGTGAAAATGCACCATAAAACACTGGAAAATCCTCTCTGTGAACTGGAGATGACGTTATAATCTAAGGTAAGCAGCCTTCCTAAGCAGGTAAAAGAAACTGAGACCTGGTAAAGTTTTAATTAATTACCATTCTGGGTTAAGTTTATCTTCTCTTGAAAGTGAATGAGCTGACTGTGGTTTACCAATTTATCTTTAATGACAAATGGCTGGTGTGAACATTTCCCTAGACCAGGGGTGGGCAAATTTTTTGACTCGAGGGCCACAATGGGTTCTTAAACTGGACTGGAGGGCCGGAACAAAAGCATGGATGGAGTGTTTGTGTGAACTAATATAAATTCAAAGTAAACATCATTACATAAAAGGGTACGGTCTTTTTTTTTTTTTAGTTTTATTCATTTCAAACGGGCCGGATCTGGCCCGCGGGCCGTAGTTTGGCCACGGCTGCCCTAGACTCTAGAGATAAAGAAAATTGGGTGTTAGACCCCTGAACCTTACTGCAAGCTTAAGGCTCAGGCTCAATCAGGAGGTGATCTTAGCCTTACAATAGAATCATTGGGTTCTCTAACCTATTCCTGAGACTATAAAAAGATGGGCTTGCCCTAGCACATTTGGCTCAGTGGATAGAGCGTCAGCCCATGGACTCAGGGTTGTGGGTTCAATTCCAGTCAAGGGCACATACCTTGGTTGCAGGCTCGATCCCCGGCCCTGGTTGGGGTGCATGCGGAGGCAACCAATCGCTGTATCTCTCTCTGAAATAACTTCTCAACAAATATATTTAAAAGGCACCTAATTTATAATTTTTTTTTGATCTTCACCCAAGGAGTGAGGATATTTTTTCCATTGATTTTAGAGAGTGGAAGTGAGCAAGGGAGAGGGGAGAGTGAGAGAGAGAGAAACATTAATGTGAGAGAGACATATCCATTGGTTATCTCCCTGTGGGGATCCCACCTGCAACCCCAGATACATGCCCTTGACCAGGAATTGAACCTGTGACCCCCTGGTGCACAGAGTTGATGCTCTAACTATGGAGACATGCTGGCCAGGGCTAAAAGGCACCTAATTTAGAATTATTGTTGGTCCTAAAAAAGATACTGCTAAAAAAAAAAAGACACTGCTCATTTCATCATAAGGAAGTAGTGTTGAAATAGAAGCATCTAAAACACAAAATACATTTTAGATGTCTATTTTCATATGACTTACAGAAACGTACAGCTTTTTATGGAACAGTTTACAAGTTAAGATAGTTCAGACCTCATGGAAAATAAAAATATGAATGTTTATACATAATAAAACGGAAATAAATAGGTGTTTCCTTTAATAGGATAAATTTCCACAAAATGACCATCCTCATAAATATCACATCAATTTAATACTGTTTCTATTACATAATTAGCATACAGAAGATAAAAATGCTCAAAAGGATGCAAATAAAATTTTCAAAAATTCTAAATATTTTCTACAGTTTCAAAGATAGCTGATATTTTTCCAAAATGGGAAATATGCCAATGATAAAGAAAGACAAGTTTATTTCTTTTAACTATATGAAGTGTAATACAGTTTCATGCTTGGTTTGTTCTTAGGTTGGGATCTTTCCATCTAGTTAATATAATATCAAGTAGAATACTTGTACAAATCCAACATGTACAATATTTTTAGAAACCTTATTTTCACTGAATCACAGGATATAGTTCAAGAAGCATTATAAATGCTAAGTGAGAAGTTATAAAGTCCAGAGTTTTCAGGTTACATTTACTTGGCATTGCTTTCATTTAAAAAAAAATCTTTATTATTGAGAATATTACAAATATCACCCCTCCCCCTCCCCCCCACATTGCCCTCCTCCACTCAGTTTCTGCCCTGCCCCAGGCCTTCACCACCCTATTGTCTGTGTCCATAGGTAATGCATATATGCATACAAATTCTTTGGTTAATCTCTTCCCGTCCCCTCCCCCCTTCCCTCTGAGATTCCTCAGTCTATTCTATGTTTCCATGCCTCTGGTTTTATTTTATTAATCAGTTTATTTTGTTCATTAGATTCCTTGTTCATTTGATTTTTTTACATTCAATTATTGGTAGATATGTATTTAATGCCATTTTATTCACATTTTTATCTTTTTTCTTCTTCCTCTTCATCTACTTCTTTCTCTTCTTAAAGAATACCTTCAACATTTCATGTAGTACTGGTTTGGAGTTGATGAACTCTTAGCTTTTTCTTGTCTGTGAAGCTCTTTATATGACCTTCAATTCTAAATGATAGCTTTTCTGGGTAATCTTGCTTGTAGGTCCTTGCTATTCATCACTTTGAATATTTCTTGCCACTCCCTTCTGGCCTGCATAGTTTCTGTTGAGAATCAGCTGACAGTTGTATGGGTACTCCCTTGGAGGTAACTGTTTTTCTCTTGCTGCTTTTAAGATTGTCTCTTTGTCTTTAACCCTTGGCATTTTAATTATGATGTGTCTTGGTGTGGGTCCTCTTTGGGTTCCTCTTGTTTGGGACTCTGTGCTTCCTGCACTTGTAAGTCTATTTCTTTCACCAGGTAGGGGAAGTTTTCTGCCATTATTTCTTCAAATAGGTTTTCAATATCTTGCTTTTTCTCTTCTCCTTCTGTCACCCCCCATAATGCGAATGTTGGTATGCTTGAAGTTGTCCCAGAGGCTCCTTACACTATCTTCATATTTCTGGGTGGTTTTTTTTTTCTTTTTGCTCTTCTGTTTGGGTGTTTTTTGCTTCCTCATATTCCAAAGCGTTGATTTGATTCTTGGAATACTCTACTCCTCTGTTGAGTCCCTGTAAATTATTCTTTATTTCAGTTAATGTATGCTTAATTTCTGACTGGCCCTTTTTCATGTCTTTGAAATTCTCAATAATATCCTTGAAAATCTCACTAAGACCCTGAAGCTCTCATTAAGATCCTTGAGCATCCTAATAACCATTGTTTTAAACTTTTTATCTAGTAGTTTGTTTGCTTCCATTTCATTGGGTTATTTTCTGGAGATTTCTTCTGTTCCTTCATTTGTGACATGTTTCTTTGTCTCCACCTTCTGTCTTCTTCCCTGTGTTTGTTTCTATGTATTAGGTGGAGCACCTATGTCTCCTGGAATATGTAAAGTGGTCTTGTGTAGTAGGTGTCCTATAGGGCCCAGTGGCTCAGCCTTCCCAGTCACCTGAGCTGGGCACTCTAGGTGAGCCCCTGTGTGGGTTTGTGCATAGTCTTGTTTTAGTTGAGTCTTGGTTGCTATTAGAGTCACTGAGAAGAATTGACCTCTAGGCCAATTGGCTGTGAGGACCAGCTGCAACTACAGTGGGAGAACTGCTGAGCAGGAGAAAACCCTATGGAGCAGGACTTGTTTCAGTGGGGCTTTGGTGCTCACTGAGTCTTCCCTTTGAGTGTGTTGCTTATGGATTTGTAGAATTGTAATTTGGCATGGTCTGAAGCTGTCCACCAGGTGCATTGGCTTTGGGGCTTCCTGGGAGTTGCAAGGTCAAACACTGCATGGGGCCACCAAGCAGGAGCTACAGAGAGATCTGCAGATGGCTTCTACTTGTGTTGGGCCTGGAAGTGCTCAGGCAAGGACAAGCTGTGAAGGTACACAGGCTGGTGATAGTGCCGGGTCTTGGCCCTCTTACTGATAGGTATGGGGTACACTGATGCCAGCTACTGCTTGTGTGAGAAATTTTAGAAAAGTCTGAAACCTGAACCAGTAAAGACCATTCATATGGAAAAGCTGCTGCAAACAGCTTGAGTTGGGCTGCAAATTGGATGGGGTGGGGCCTCAGGGGGTCACCAGGGCTGAGTGAACCATGCTGATAGAAACTCAGATATGGCTGCCAGTCAGCTCTGTGATGGGGAGGTTCCAGCACAGGATCAATGACCCCTGTGAACACCCCCATCTGGAAGGAAGCCACCCCAGAACCCCTGCCCTAATGCCAGACATTCCAGTTCCTCCCCATATGTCCCTGGATCCCCTAAAGCCACTGCCCCAGGGCTGGAGCCCAGAGGTATTGTCTGAGTAAGTCCATGTGCTGGCCTTTTTAAGAGGGACTGCCTAGGTATCCAGCAGCCTCCATGTCACTCAGCCACAATCTCTGCTGATTTTTACAGCCTAAAGTACGGGGACTTCTCTTCCTGGCACTGGAACCCTGGGCTGACCATTCTGGTATGGGGGTGGGACCCCTTGCTTCTCACAGGAGACGGCACAGCCTTGATATCACTCCCGATTTAAAACACGCCACATGAGGGTGTCGGACTAGTCTGTTCTGCGCCTCTGCCCCTCCTCCCAGTCTCAATGTGGTTTCTTCTTTACTTCTCTAGTTGTAAGACTTCCATTCAGCCAGATTTCAGGCAGTTCTAAATGATGTTCAGTATTTTAGTTGTAATTTTGATGTGGTTGTGGGAGGCAGCGAGTACTGCTTTTATCTATGCCACCATCTTGATTCCTTCTCCTTCGCCTTGCTTTCTAGACATAATTATCAGAGCAATCTGTCCAATGCGATAGCCACTTGAAATGTGGCCACTCTGAATTGAGATGCTCTGTAAGTGTAAAATTTACGCCAGATTTGGAAGATTTAATATGAAATAAAAAAATGTCGCCTTGGCTGGTGTGGCTCAGTTGGCTGGAGCATCGTCCTATCCCGTGCATTTGAACCCTATTCAGGGCATGTACAGGAGGTAGACGATTGATGTTGCTCTCTCACATTAATGTTTATCTTTCTCCCTTTCCCTTCCTCTCTCTCTAAAATCAATAAAAAACATGTCCTCGGATGAGGATTTTAAAAAAAATCTTTAAAAGATGTAAAATATCTCATAATAATTTATACTGATTTCATATTCAAATGATAACACCTTGTATATAGATTAAAAATATACTAATTTTACTTGTTTAGTTTTTAAATGTTTACTAGAATGTTTTAAATTAATGTAGCTAGCTAACATTTCTATTGGACAGCACCACTTTAGAAACTCAGTAGAGAGAGTAATTTTTTAAAGCAAAAAAAAGTTGGTCTTTACTTATGATAGCTCTACATGGGTTAACACGTGTCTTTGGACATTTTGCACAAATGCTAGACACACAAGTACAAACCACCTGCAGCTGCTGCCTGGGTGTCATGGACATCCGCCTGTACTTTGGAGGTCACACTAATTCTTCGGGCTTTCCTCTCAACTGTGCAAGGGTCTGATGAGTCTGCATGAGACAAAGTGAAGTCACTTAGAAGGGATCAAGCCATTCATTTAGAAGTATTGTTGGGCGCACAAAAATCTCTCACAGGATATGCACAGTTGAGTGCTTACCCCTTCTACTACCTCATGTTACCTTTAATTTCCCTGTGAGGACAAGTGCCATATTTAATACTGCTTTTACAGTCTATACAAAGCAGTGGCTTTTATGACTTTTTCTATCCTCTCCAATTATATGGAGTACATGCCTTCTTTCACCAGTTTCCCACTTGCTGGTTGTTTAGGGTTACAAACTCAGTAATGAAATGTCAAAGTGAAAGCAAAATTTGAGATATTATACTTTAGCAAATCCCTGATTAAGAACTAGTTATTGGAAAATTATGGGTTGAAGATAAACTTCCCATGTAAGGCTAACCAAAGAATCAGTTAAAATAATAACAAACTACAGCATTTTATAATTAAGGAACAAGCAGTTCTGCCCTGGCTGGTGTGGCCAGTGGTTATAGTATCGGCCCTTGAACCAAAGGGTTGTGAGTTTGATTCCCGGTCAAGGGCACATGAGGGAGGAAACCAATCCATGTGTCTCTCTCACATAGATGTTTCTCCCTCTCTCTCCTCCCCTTTCCCTTCCCTCCACCCTTTTACTCTCTCTGAAAAAGCAATGGAAAAAACATCCTCTGGTAAGGATTAACAACTAAAAAGAAAAATAATAGCAGTACTTGAGCCCTGCTGGCATGGCTCAGTGGTTGGATGCAGACCTATGAACCAGGAGGTCACGGTCCGATTCCCGGTCAGGGCACATGCCTGGGTTGCAGGCCCAATCCCCAGTGTGGGGCATGCAGGAGGCAGCCATTCAATGATTCTCTCTCATCATTGCTGTTTCTATCTCCCTCTCCCTTCCTCTTTGAAATAAATACATATATATTAAATAGAACATATCTACACTAATAAAAGAGAAACATGGTAATTGGCGTACGACCGCTACCCTTCCCATTGGCTAATCAGGGAGATATGCAAATTAACTGTCAGCCAAGATGGCGGCCGGCAGCCAGGCAGCTGATGCGAACAGGGAGGCTTGCTTCCTTCAGTGACAGAGGACTCCAACGTTCCCCGCCTGCCTTGCCGGCCTCTGAGCTTCAGTTGGAAACATTGTAACATTTATAGAAGATAAACAAAACCCCAGAAACCTCCTGTCAGTCAGCCGGGATCTCAGAGCTGGAGTCACAACATTGTTTCGAATACAGAAAACAAAGGCCAGAAACCTGCTTTCAGCAGCCGAGCCTCAGAGAGAAAGCCGGCTCCCAGCTCCAGTGACAGCCATAGAAGGTAAATAAATGCCAGAATAAAAAAAAAAGAAAAAAAGGAGAGGTTTGGAGCTTCAGTCGCCCGCCAGCCTGAAAACGGCCCTCAGCCCCTCACCCAGACTGGCCAGGCACCCCAGTGGAGACTCCCACCCTGAAGGGTGTGTGACCAGCTGCAAACAGCCATCATCCCCTCATCCAGGCTGGCCAGGCACCCCAGTGGGGACCCCCACCCTGAAGCAACAAGATGGCGGCTAATTTGCATACTGAAGGCAGGCGGCAGCAGGCAAGGCTGTCTGCGGTCTGGGACCCGGATCTGTGACCCTGCCGGGCAGGATCAGCGGAGCCGCGAGGCCTCCCGGCACCGGGATCAGCGTGACAGGGGGCAGCGCCCAAACCCCCTGATCGCCCTGCGGCTCTGTGTGTGACAGGGGGCGGGGCCACAACATCCCTATCCGCCCTACTCTGTTCGTGACAGGGGAAGGCGCCCCAACCCCCTGATCAGCCCTGCTCTGTGCGTGACA